AAAAGAATCCATTACAAAACTTTATGGTTCAAGTGTTTGCAGGAAACAAGGGTATATTCTCATTTTTATAGCAATTTGTTCTAGTAGCAAATTTTCAAACTACTAGTTTTCATCCAATAAACCTAAAGCAATTATAAATTAAAACTGAGGTAACACGACCATTGAAACATAATTTTTCTCCTGTTTCATAATGACTTTTCAAATTATGCTCATGTATAGTTGGCTTCAAAACTTTGTTATCCAAATTTTGTAACTGGGAAATCACATTTATAAAAAACATGAGGCATGAGCCCTGTCAAATGTTGGAGATTGTATTTCCGTTCTTCATGAAATCTTCAGGTTGATAGACACCTGATAAAGTAGTAATGTGTCTGAAAAATAAATTTTTGTTTTGCACCAGAATAACTAAATATTACACCAGACGTAGTGTTTTCCAACACTTTCACATAATCAACACCAAAAGCAAATGTTCTTCTCTGTAAATAATTCACATGTTACATAACATAATGGTTTCACATGTTTTGTCAAGCTACAAAGCTCCACAGGCTTTTTACAATGAATGCATCACCGCCTCTTTCCTTTAATCTCCCTAGCCCCTCCTGCATCCTCTCCTGTCATCTCTCCTCACAGAGTGATGGTCCCTTTTTTTCTTTTTCTTATTGTTACATACATTTTTATTCAAATCTCAGAAGCAGCTCTTCATTGTAGAGCATTGGCCACTAGGGGGCAGACATGACCAAGACATTTCATATGTTTCTAGTGATGCTTTAAATTTTAATCTATTTGAAATAGTGCTTTTTTGTAGTCAGATATATATATATATATATATATCATATTATATTATTATATGTTATATTTTATTATATATTATATTATATATTATATTATATATTATATATATTAATTTCATGCCAAATAAAAGCCCTGACATTTATTTGATAATTCAGCTTTTAATCTTTCTTTATGAGTTATCAAATGTTATCTTTGTTCTCAATTATAATCAAATTAAATTTACAATAAAGGACATGGCACATTGTGAGTTTGTTATTATCCAAAGCTGGCAGTAGCTGTGAGTACCTTAGTCTGTATTTTTCATTTCAGGTACTGATAGTCTTGTAAGATATACTTATTAATAGTTTCATTTTAGAACAAATCTTTGAAAAAGTACTGTAAGATGGGTGTCTTAGTTAGGGATTCTGTTGTTGTGAGAAGACACCATGACCAAGGTAACTCTTATAAAAGAAAGCATTTAATTGGGGCTGACTTACATGTTCAGAGGTTTAGTCCGTTATCATCATGGTGGGGAGCATGGCAGCTGGGCAAGCAGACAAGATGCTGGGGAAGGAACCGAGAGTTCTACATCTGGATTGGCAAGCAGCAGGAAGAGAAGGACACTGGGCCTCGATTGAGCACTTAAGACCTCAAAGCCCACCCCCAGTGACACACTTCGTCTAACAAGGCCACACTTCCTAATAGTGCCATTCCCTATGAGCCTATGGGGGCCATTTTTATTCAAACCACCACAGTAAGGAAATGTGCATTTTTTCATTTTTTATTTTATTAATTTGTTTTCCTGCTGGGGTCCAGCCTCAGCTCAGGTTAAGGTCCTGAGACGGGGAAGGTGCATCAGTGTGAGGAAGAAATCTGACCACCAGGTGGGTTGCAATCCAGTGGTGCTAAATAGCTCAAGCAGTCGTTATTTGTACTTTTAACAGAGTTTTTTCTACCAGGTTTACACGCACAGCTTTATTATTGGCTACTATTTTTGACTTTTAAAAAATACATCATATTTTAAGAAATGCATTGCAATCATTATTAAAGCACCCATTGTTCTTCTTTATGTATCCCCAAATACATTTTCCCACCCCCTACATAACCTTATTCAGCATTTTTGCAGGCTTAACTAAATATCAAGCCAGACACATCCTGTTCTTATAGCACCCATGTTATCTGGCAGTTACTTTCAGTTACAAAGTTAAAAAAGTAATAGACCTGTAGAAGACTTTAAGAACAACAATATCCAAACCCAAACAATTCTTTCATTTCTGCAAAATACGTTTTTGTACAGTTCCCTTTTCCACAAGAAAGTCCCATGTCTCAATCTCTCTGTAAAAGGCAGACTTTGATAAGACACTCTTTTCCCATCCCACGATAGCACACTTCTTTATGCTTGGTGTCCAGGGAACTTACCCTCAGCAGTTCGCCCTATGTGTACTTCTGAGACTTTTCCCCTATTCTGTGTATGCATGCCTTACTCTCCTTCCCAGAACTGTAAGACATAGTTAATGTTCCAAGTGTTGAGTCCGAAAAGTCCCAGGATTAGGAGTTGTTAGAAATTTCAGGTAAGAAGTTTGAGAAGCATTAGTCCCCTGCTGAATTTTAAGGCAAAGTATTCAAGAAAGAACAGAATTTCCAGGGAAATTATAGTTGTTGCATGTGTGACTGACAAAATAAAACTAAAAACTACACAAACCATCAACAATATAAGGAGAGAGAAAAAGCCTGCTGTCCTGGGGTCTACTGGTCCTTGCTAACTGAGAATCCATTTCCACGGGCATCTTGCCCAGAGTAAACGGGTTGGACATGTAGTTATCTGCTGACCTGAGACTGGGCTGTTTGGCTCCCGACTCGTTCCTCTGACAATTTCCTGAACATATCTAGGACATTCTGCTACCGTCACCTTCACTCTCACTTCTGTCCCATTCCTAGTTCCTTCCTCATTCATATCCTTCTGTTTGGTTTTTTGTTGGTTGTTTGTTTTTTTCTTTTTGTGACACATTGAGTTTAACCAGGGCTGTCTGCATGACCATACATTGCTGTTGTTCAGTGTGGCATGGTGACTTCATCAGAAAGTACATACCTGAGACAGTGTCTGTGGCTTCACCAGAATCCATCAGTAGCTCATAGCATGAAGGAACGGGGCCAGACATACCCCATAGGCCCCATGATTTCTTGTTTACAGGCTCATTCTGTGCAGTTCCATTCTTGGCAGCTACAGTCACTATGTGATCATGACTGTGTAGCTTTGTCACACCCACAGGACAATATTTCACAGATCTAATCCCTGTATCCCAGCTCTTACCTTCTTCCTTCCCAGAGACTGAGAAGGGTACAAAGAATGTCCTCTGAGGAGCACCCCACTATCACTTGTTCTCAGTACCTTGAGTAACAAGGTGCCATTACATTTATAGCCTTCCATTGTGAAGAGAATTTTCTCTGGTTAAAACTGAGATAAACCTTTTTCTATGTGTACAAAGGTAAATATGTATAAAGTAGCTTGGCACTGTGTCAATGTAGTTAAACAATATTAAAATTACTTCCTAGGACACAAGACTTGCTCAGCTATGGGTTTTGACCAAATTTACAATACTAAGCATGGGCTCCCTCTTATGGAGCAGGCCTCAACACCAATCATGGTCTTTGTTACCCCCACACCAGTCATGCCACTATTACACCAATGGGAACACCTTGCCTGACAGGTTGGTCAGGCAAGACCAACATAAAAGAATGCAACACACCTTTGCATTATTAAACAAATATTCCACAGCATAAACAAATGTAACACATCTTGAAATAAAATTCTACAACAAAAATATGTATTATTTTTCCTGTGAGAAAGTAAAATAAATCTAAATTTTCTTTGATATTGAAATGGAAATCAAAGAATAAGAAAGAAAATGCATGATCTGCAATCACATGTATGTATATATAATCTAGATGTATGCTCACCCATGCACATGTGGGTGTAATAGACACATAAATTAACTATTGATAACACTATTTTCCTACATCTCACACTCACATACATTGTGACCTCATTTAGAATGGATTGAATCTTTCAGACTCTTGGTTTGGGTTTCACCATATAACTTGCTTTTGTCTGTAGCAGGTCAACAGAAATGATATTTTGTTTGTGGTAAGCCTAGGATTTGAGGGGCCTTGAACATTTCTCTTTACCTTCTTGTAATTCTGCAAAAAAAAAAAAAAAAAAATTCCTTAGGAGCCTACTGTCTCTTCAACCCTTACTTCAGAATGCATACATGCAATGTGGCACAGTCACTGTAGACACAGCTTAAATAGGAGCCCTTGTTGGGTCTATGTTGGGTGAACAAACCTACAGCCAATCTCAAACCTAGGTAACAATAACCTAACTTGTGACTTAAGCTCTAAATTTTCAGAGTGGTTTCTTAGACAGCAATACCTAACAAAATTCAATGTATTAGTTCATCAAGTTTCTTTTTGGTTTTGGGGTTTTTTTCCCTCTTTCTTTTTATTTATTCTTCTCTAATACAATACACAAAATCACAGTTTCCCTTCCATTCACTCCTCCCCCCCCCCCTCTCTCCCCCACTCCTCCTCCATTTCCCTTCAGAAAAGAGCAGGTCTCCTGGGGATATCAATTGAACATGGCATGACAAGATACAATAAGACTATGCATAAAGTCTCATATCAGGACTGAGCAAAGCAACCCAGTAGGAGGTAAAGGGTCCCAAGAGCAAGCAAAAGAATCTGAGACAGCCCCATTCACACTGTAAGGAGTCCCACAAAACACCGAGCTAACAACCACAACATATACACAGAGGACCCAGTGTAGACCCATGCAGGCTCTGTGATTGCCTTGCCGCTTCATTCTCTACAAGCCTCTCTGGGCCCTGCTTAGATGATTCTGTGGACCATCTTTTCCTCAACCCCTCTGGCTTCTTCAATTCTTCCTCCCTTTCTTTTTCATGGTTCCCCAAGCTCCAAGGGGAGGGACCCAGTGGAGATCTCTAATTTCGGCTCTTTCTCCACCTAATGTTGGCTGTGTGTCTCTACATCTGCTTCCATCAGCAGCCTGAGGAAGCCTCTCTGACAACAGTTGGGCTAGGCACCAACCTATGAGTATAGCAGAATATCATTAGTACTCATTTTATTAAGTTATTTTCCTGTCTCTGTTATAGTCATCTGTTTATTAATGCTGTCCAAGTTGAGTTTTATCACTTGTAACTCATAGTCACAATAATAGAATTTGAAAAGTAATGACATATACTTAAGTTAGATTTGGGGTTCATAACAACAAACCATTTTATTTTTTAATAGATACAGAATATAAACCCACCAGGAATTATGATTGATTTTTCATAACTGATTACTTTTATCTTATTTTTCTATTAATCAAAGGCACTGCTTTTTTGCACATGTACTTCTTCCTAGCACAGTTAAAATGCATTCTAGTTTCAGCTTCTTCTTCTTCTTCTTCTTCTTCTTCTTCTTCTTCTTCTTCTTCTTCTTCTTCTTCTTCTTCTTCTCCCCTGTTTTCTCATTGTTCTGTTGATCAATTAATTATTACTACATGATAAATTCTCTTATTTTTCCTCTTTTTTGCACACATGGGAGTGTTTCTTTTCTGATACCTAAAAAAAGAGAAACAAAATGGTCTTAGTTGGTTTATACTGAGAAGCAACCAGAAGGTTGCTAGAGAACTAAGCTCATCCTAGCTAGGAGCCTGTACACCGCAAGAAAGAGGACTGGAGAAGCTGAGACGACAGTGTCAGACAGAAAGCTAGCAGTGGGAGACCTTCCCAGTTCTTTCAGAATTAGCAATCAGTGAAGAGGATAGAGTACTCAAATATGACGAAATAATGTTTGAGTAAAATAAACCAGAACTCCCATTTAATCTCTAATGGTAACAGTGCAGCATATGCCAGCCACAGACTGATAACAGAACACCCTGAAGGGCAAGTTGAGTCTGTAATCACAAATGATAAATATTTACCCAGGAGGAGTCACACTAAATGAAGCAGAAATAAATGAGGTGGAGGGGGTCAAAAAGCCAAGCTAAAAATATCACAAAAATACTTTCATACTTGTATTTTATAGCATTATTTACAATAGCTAAGGATGGAAGCCAACTAGGTGTCCAACAATGGAGGAATGAATACAGAAAATGTAAGGTCTATACACAGTGGAATTTCTTTCAATTACAAAGTAAAAAGTTAGGTTATTCTCAGGAAAATGGATGTAACTAAAGATAATCTATTGAGCATATTAGGCTAGTCTCAAAAGACATTTTACCCCAGTTTTGGTTCCTAGATCTCTAGATAATTATATAAATTTTATATATATATATATATATATATATATATATATATATATATATATATATATAATCAGATGCATTTGGTTCTAAGGCAGGGACAAATCCTCTAAGATCACATCTGATGAGAGATAGTGTTGATCCAATCTGGTTCTAGTTCCCAAGCAAAGCAGCCAGTGTGAAAGAAGAAAACAGAGGTGAGCAAAGTATTTTCAGACAGTGAAAGAGATATATCATTTCATAATTTTCTTTTTAAAACTAGAGTGAAGTTATGCAGATCCTCCAAGACATATTGGAGATGGAAGGCAGGAAGGAAATGTGCATAGAAAAGGTATGTTCAGCCAGTGGGTCAGGGCTACTCATATGCCAATAGCCCAGAGACAGACCTATCAGGTAAACAACAGACCCAAACAAGAATTAGCCAAGTTGATGATATCTTCAAGGTCTGAGATCACCAGTCTACCTGTTTGTTCAAAGGCAAGTCCTCTAAGAAGTCATTTGCAGTATGCAGGATCTCTCTCAGTGCCGAGAGGATTACCATGTTCTTCACAGGGTCCAGATGCCACTCTGAGACATAATTACTAATCACCAAGATGTCAGAAAGGGCAAAACCAAAGTCTCTATGGACTGCTTCTAGCTGAAATATAAAATTTAAAACCCAGAGCTGTATAAAAATGAGAACAGATTTAGATCCATGATAACACATGTTAAAACAAATGTCAGTGTTAAGGAAGAGACAAGAGAATCCCAAGGACTTGCTGGTCTACCAGCCCTGTCAAATAAATGTGCTACAAGTTCAGTGAGAGACTTTTCTCAAAAAATAAAGTGGAAATCAGTTAAGAAGACACCTAACATCAAATCAGGACTTCCATATACATATGTAGTTATACACAAATAAGCATGAGCACACATGCACACTCACACACAGACACATACACACAATCTCTCAGGTGTATCACAGTAGTAAAAGGTATAAAATAAATTATCAGAGTAATAATAAAAAGCAAGAACTTGGTCATCATTTTCCTATATTTTTTAAAAACAAAGATCAGATCCTCTACAGTACTTTCTTGAACAACTTCACATCAAGTTCCAATATCACTGTTATTTTTATTTAAAATGCACTAATATATTAGACATGAATTAAAAGCAAATGGTATGCTCATTGATCATTAAGATTAATATTGTGAAAATGGCCAACCTACTAAAACCAAGCTACAGATTCAACACAATCCCCATAAAAATTCCAACATAATTATTCATAGAAAGTGAGAAAACATCTCTAACTTCATATAGAAACACACATATAAAAAAACAAAACAAGATCACAAAAACAAGCCTGAATAATAAAAGGACTGAAGGACTAGTGGGGGTGTCATCATCCCAGATCTGAAATTTTATTACTGAGCTACAGAGATAAAATAAGCATGGTATTGGCATAAAAACAGACATGTTGATCTATGGAATCGAATTGAAGACCCAGACATAAACTCACATGTAGTCAGAAGGCTTCTCAGGGCCGCTAATAAAATAATTACTCAGAGGCTGATATTAATTACCAGTCACACGACATATGGCAGGCTTCTTGCTGGCTAGCTCTTATAACTTAAATTAACCCACTGCTATTAATCTATGTTTTGCCACGTGTTTCATGGCTTACTGGTCTGCTGGCATGTTGTTCCTTGGGTGACAGGCTGGTGTCTCTCTGTCTCACCTTTCTCTTCCTGTCTATCTGCTCAGATTTCCACCTGCCTCTAAGCTGCCTTGCCACAAGCCAATACAGCTTTATTTATCAACCAATCAAAGCAACACATGTTCACAGTATACAGAAAAACATTCTACAGCACTCACACACCTACAGATATCTAATTATTGACAAAGAAGCTAAAAATACGCAATGGAAAAAAGAAAACATCTTCAACAAATCATGCTGGTCAAACTGGGTAGCTACATGTAGAAGAATAAAAAATAGATTTGTCTTTAGTGTTAATTGTCCTTCCTCACATTCTCTCCCCTACCCTTTTCTCCCATCCCCCTCTGCATTTAATCTTCCTATTCTGGTTTCCCCTTTATCCCTCCATAACACTGTATTAGATTTCGAATTCCTTGGAGATTCCTCCCTTTACCTCTCAGTCCCTTACTAAGTATCTAATCTCTGTGGTATTTACCACTCTGCAAAAATCTCAACTCCAAATGCAGTTTTGTGCATCAATTTAAGACCAGATACACTGAATCTGATAGAAGAGAAAGTGAGGCATAGCCTTGAACTCATTGGCACAGGAGAAGACTTTCTGAATAGAACACCACTAGAACAGGCACTAAGACCAACAAGTAATAAATGGGCCTCATAAACGGAAAAGCTTCTGTATGGCAAAGGACACCATCATTTGGGCAAACTAGCAGCCTACAGAATAGAAAAGTATCTTTGGCAATTATACATCTGATAGAAGGTATCTAAAACATACAGTTTAGTATCTAAAACATATAAAGAACAACAAAAAAAATCTGGACATAAAAAATAAGCAACCCAATTTTTAAAAAGGGTACAGAACTAAGCCAAGAGTTCTCAAAAGATGAAACACAAATGACTGGAAAAAAGTTTAAAGAAATATTCAACATCTTTAGCCATTATGGAAATGCAAATCAAGAATACTTTGAAACTTCTTCTTACCCCAGTCATAATGGCCAAGATCAATAACACAAATGACAGATCACACTGGCAAGGATGTGGGGAAGAGGAACACTTATTAATTAGTGGGAAGGGAAAAATAAACTGTAGCTTGAGTTTTCCTGCCTGGCCCACAGTCAGGACAAATCTTTCTCACCTGCCAGTCCCACAGCAGCTCAGACTTGACCAAGTAAACACAGAGACTTATATTGGTTACAAACTGTATGGCCGTGGCATGCTTCTTGCTAACTGTTCTTACAGCTTAAATTAATCCATTTCTATTAATCTATACCTTGACACGTGGCTTGTGGCTTACAGGTACTTTACATCTTCCTTATCCTGATGGCAGCTGGCAGTGTCTCTCCCACCCAGCTTCCTGTTTTCTCAATTTTCCTCTCTGTTAGTCCCGCCTATACTTCCTGCCTGGCCACTGCCAATCAGAGATTTGCCCTGACTGTGGGCCAGGCAGGAAAACTCTAGCAACAATAAACTGGTACAACCATTATGGAAACTGGTGTGGTGGTTCCTTAGGAAGCTGGCAATAGAGCTACCTCAAGACCCAGCTATACTACTCTTAGGTGTATACCCAAAGGACTTTATATCATACTAGATAGGTACTTTCTCATCCATGTTCATGGCTACTCTACTCTACTCATAATAGCTAGAAATTGAAAACAGTCTAGATGTCTGGTTCTTTGGGGTTTTTTATTATTTTATTGCTGTTTTGTTTTGTTTTGAAAGTGAGAAAACAAAGTTGGATGGGTATGTAGGAAGGAAGTAACTGGGACAAACTGGAGGAAGGAAAAACATGATCAAAGTTTATATGGCTACTTTTTAATGTCTATGTTTCTCTAAAATGTAAAGTCATAAAATGAAGTGTCATTACCACTGGCTTCTGCTTTTCTGTCTACTACAAATATCTAGCTATCCACTACATCGAGAAATCCATGCATCTCAGATATTCTACCATTTTTGTCCTCTAGTAGTTTGATTTATATTTCCTATGCTTAAATTGTTTCTCTTTTTGTTTCTTCTCTTACTAAAATGCTTAAATACTATCATTCAGTGTCACCTTTGCAGTGAAATAATCCCCTGTGACATTTTTCTACTTCACCATTTCTTACATGATATTTATCACATATAATCATGGCATATTCTTCTGTCTACTTTTTCATTTCCCACTTCCCTATACTCTCACTTCTGTCTATAAATTATATGTTTTTTAGTACAATAATGTCTGTACCATTGTTGTATCAAATTAGAGGTTATAGTACTGGTTTGATCATAAGGAAATCAATAAATATTTGTTGAATTAAATTATAGCAAGTAAAATTAAACATAAAGTAAAACACAAAGATGAGTTGTATATAATTCAATCTTCTAAGCCTGGGAAATGTGTCCTAACTTTTCTAGCAATTATTTTAATTCCTCTTCAGTTTAACAGTTATCTAATGTTCTTTATAAAGTTGGATATTGTGTATATAAAGACATTTCTCAGAGGACATACACTCATTACCTTGAGCTTCACAGGCTCACAGTTGTATATGTCTACCAGGTCTTCTCTTGTAATCAGATCCAGGCTATCCACGTGGGTAAGCAAAGCCACATGCAGGATGCCTGTGTCAAAGAAATACATAGGATTTTATCCTTACAGATATCAATAGCATTTCTAAATTAGTAAATTATCAATTTTGCTGGAGGCAAGCAATGGGGCAACTTTAGATTTAGGGAGTTCTCTACCGTCTTACACACACACAACATCCACTGGAATTTCTTCTGCCTGGGATGTCCCCTTTGTTCTAAGCTAAAAATTGAAGCTTCATGAAAGAGTACTTAGAACTAACTAAAATTTACTCCACATTATTGCCAATTGCTATTCAGTCCTAATCGTGTTGTTTTAATGGAGATTAGAGAAAATGCCAGAGAAGATGGAGAAAGGCATTCCAAGAGAACAAAACCACCATAACCTGATGAGTAAGCTACTCCTACTTCACAATATTGACAAATAGGTCCCTGAACAAGATTTTAAAACATTTCAGTTTCAGTGAGCAGGTAAGTCCTTGTTTCTTAATCAAATTTGTGATGGACTCTTTCCCACTCAGGTGGATAAAACCAAGAAAAGCCAGAGTTGGGCACCAGAACCACCAGCTTGTGCTCACCTCCTGCCTTTCTGCTGCCTCTCTACCAGGTGTGTTCTATATCTGCTCTTTTTTCTAATCCTTTAAGGTCCAAAAGGAAAGATATAGTATGTCAAAAACTACATGAGAAAACACTAAGGCAGTGTGTGGTTGGGGTTGGCTACTCTTCAACTTGTGCAATACGTGCAAACAAAATAGTCATAGGGAGGACCTATCATTTTAGCAGTTTTAAGTTGTTGAGGGAAATTGAGTTTAAGTCATATAGCTATTGAGCTCTCAACTGGATGTAACCATGCTGATGATCCAGAAAGACTCGCATTTGCTATCACTGTGGTCCTTCACTTCACTCCCCAAATTTCTGCTGTAAAGTCTAGTCAGTTACTTCCAGTAGCAAAATGAAATGACACTCACCACATTTTATCAGCTCTCTTCGAATCCTTTTTATCTTTGCCACCAACCCATGGGAGAGCTGTTCCACAGAATTGATATCAAACACAAACACCACACAATGGATTCTGTCCTTCAGCAGTGGGTTGTGAATGTAGTTCGGATGGTTTGATGTGATTGGCTTCATGGAATTGAACTGTAAAGTAGATAAGACAGAAGTCAGAGCACTCAGAAAGGAAGTTAGAATCATCACATGGACTGTGTTTATTCATAAACTATACTCCAGTCATATGCATTTGAACAAAATGCACAGAGATCTGATGTTAAGAGGTTAACTCTAAAATGGAGAAGGCAGTAAATGCATAAGTGGTTAGCAGTTCTTTTACACAGCCTGATAATGTGACCAAGGGATACATGATCTGGGGCTATAATGACAGAGTTCTACTCAAGAAAGTGAACAAGGCTGTGTCAGGAACTACTCTCAATAAAAGAAACCATGTGTGTGAAGACAGAGATCAGAGCATTCAGAAACAAAGTTGGAGTCCTCACACAGTGAGTGAAGAGGAGAATGCCTCATGATAGGATGGTACCATTATTCTTGAACTAACAATTGCTCTGCCAGGGTCTGTCTCACAGAGATAGTGGCATAAAAAAAATAATATCTGCACAGTGTCTTGATTGTATGCCTATTCATGCAACAAAAACATGGAATACCAGCAAGCCATAGGATACTATCACTTCTCTAAAAAGGGAGAGCACACAAATATGTACATATTTTCTTCGATATTACAAAAAGGAAGCAAGTCATAAATTTATTATGATTTCTTATAGGAAGAACAAAAGGATTTGTTTAAATAAGCAGAGAAAGGATATAAGTTCTTTAAATACTCTTTATTCAACAAATTCAAATTTAGGTATATAAATAATAAGTTATAAAAATAAAACAAAATCAAATTTTAAAACAAATTCATAAATCAAACTAAACATTGTACTTAGTATAACTAGAATCAAACTACTTCTGACTGACTGTAAAACAGGGTATAATTTGTATGCCTCATAATGATATATGATTGCATTCTCAACATAGTATAAGAATCTGCTAAGATTGTTATATTGTCTCCAATTTTGATTGTTATTTTACTAAATAATATTAAATATGATTAGGTAATTTACACTAGTAATGGAATCTGTTTTGAAGCTACTGTGTGACATGAAGAAATTAGTTGTGATACAATATTCTATCCAATCTGCTGTCCTTGAGAACAAGAATTCTCAATTTAGGAGAAAGTCAACAAAAATATAATTACAGAAGATTAAAAATTATCCAGTCTTTAATTTGATAAATGTATATTAATTTATAAGGCACCTTATCAAAGAAATATGTGCTTTGCTGAAAAGTGCAAGAAAAAACTGCCAGCAACTTTTCTAATGCTACAAACAGGGCTTTGTGAAGAAGCAATTGATTCACAGAGCAGGATGAAAAACACAAAAGACGTGACAGGGGTACCCAGACATACCACAGAGCAAGAAACACAGAAAATACCTGTGTTTCTGTCAAAGGACCTGTGATTTAACTTGTAGAGATTCCCATTGGTCCTGGCAACTGGATTTAGAAAAACCACAACATATCAAAAAACATTAAAATTATTCAGTTTATATTGAGTTCACAATGATAATAAATTAACAACTGGGGGACTTCCACTGGTGCGTGAGGCGAGCGGAGCCGGAGACAAGAGCAGAGGCCGAACTCGGGATCTGACAAGATGGCCGGGCTGCCCCGCAGGATCATCAAGGAAACCCAGCGTTTGCTGGCTGAACCAGTTCCTGGCATTAAAGCAGAACCAGATGAGAGCAACGCCTGTTATTTCCATGTGGTCATTGCTGGCCCCCAGGATTCCCCCTTTGAGGGAGGGACTTTTAAACTTGAACTATTCCTTCCAGAAGAATACCCAATGGCAGCACCTAAAGTACGTTTCATGACCAAAATTTATCATCCTAATGTAGACAAGTTGGGAAGAATATGTTTAGATATTTTGAAAGATAAGTGGTCCCCAGCACTGCAGATCTGCACAATTCTGCTATCAATCCAGACTTTGTTAAGTGCTCCTAATCCAGATGATCCGTTAGCAAATGATGTAGCTGAGCAGTGGAAGACCAATGAAGCCCAAGCCGTAGAAACAGCGAGAGCATGGACTAGGCTATATGCCATGAATAATATTTAAGTCGATCAGATCATCGAGTGCACATCACTTCTCCTGTTCTGCCAAGACTCTTCCTTTTTTTGTTTGCATTTAATGGACACAGTCTTAGAAACATTACAGAATAAAAGCCCAGGCATCCTCATCTTTGGTGATTACATGCACATTAGCAAATCTCTGTCTTGTCGTGATTCACTGTTGGAAAGCATGAGCAGAGGCTAGAAGTATCATCTGGGTTGTTGTGAAATGTTGAAAGCAGTGACTCTGCTTGGATTCGTTTCCCCATCATGGTTTAAGTACAAAGCACTGTGAATGAAGGTAGTTGCCAGGGTTAGCTGCCAGGGGCATGGGTGTTTTTATTTTATTTTTTAGGGGAAAAGTAGTTTTATTTTAATTTTATGGTCTCCTTAACCCCTCCCCCTCTTATGGGATCTAATTACAGTGGTTAAATGCAGCTAACCAGTTTTTTAGAATATGTTCTCTAGCCAAGTCTAACTTTAGACACTGTAGATGGACAAGCTCGATTGTCTGAATCAAAATGGGAACATTAAATAAACATCACAGCCCTCACTAATAGCATTGTGACTTTGCTGTCGAGTGTAGATTCTCTGCCCCATCCCCCAAGAAGAAACAAAAGCTTGTGACCATTTTGTATGGCTTGTCTGGAAACTTCTGTAAATCTTATGTTTTAGTAAAGTATTTTTTGTTATTCTCCTGAAAAAAAAAATTAACAACTGATTACTGGAGGCAAATAAATACTCAGAAAAAAAAAAAACTTACTGTTTTCAAAAGTTCATAAAACAGACAAAAACTGAAGCCTGTTTTTAGACTCTGCTTTTCTTTTGTAACTATGTGAACCACTGTGTAATTAGATAGTGAGTATGGGAGAATTTCTCTCCATGGGCGACATGACGAAGAAAGGTGGAAGGAGATCACTACGTTCACTCTGATAAATAAATGATCCACAAACTGAACGTTGCTGTGGAATAATCCTTCTGTACACTGCAAATATGTATTACTCTCATTGGTTAATAAAAAGCTGACAGACTGGTAACCAGGCAGGAAGTATAGATGGGACACCAGACACAGAAGACTCTCAGAGGAGGAAAGACAGAGTCAGAGGAGAAGCCAGCCAGCCACCGAGATAGCAGGATGTATAGAAAATGAGGTAACAAGCTCTGAGCCACGTGGTGAAGCATAGATAAGAAATATGGATTAATTTAAGTTTAAGAGTTAGCTAGTAACAAGCATGAGCTATTGGCTGAGCATTTATAAGTAACATTAAGGCTCTGAGTGGTTATTTGGGAATTGATGGGCAGGAGAGAAGTGTACAACTACAGAGCGCTAATGATACAATTTTGAAAATCAAGAAATTTGAAAAATGCACCTCCGGATGGAAGAACACACCACCTATGAAGTAAAATTCACTAAACTATTTTTTATTCTGTAGAAAGAAGAGAACCACATAAAGTGATACTTAAGGATACAACAAAATTGAGTCCGTGTTATAAAGAGATCCACAGAAGAACCATTCCAGTTTCCTAAAAAGACAAGCTGCAGGGCCAGTAAGATGGCTCGGGGTAGAGGTGTTTACCACCAAGACTGATGACCTGAGTTCAGTCCCCAGAACTCACATGGAGGAAGGAGAGAACCAACTGCCTCAGCGTGTCCTCTGATCTGTGCACTCACCATGGCATGTGTGCACCCCACACACATACACACATACACACATGTACACAGACAACATACACATACACACCACAACATACACACACATACATGCACCCATTTACTTATTTATTTATTTTTAAACAGACATGTAAGGAAAAGCAGAATATATAGGCTAAAACATTTTGAATAGATTTACTTTTCAAAAATGAACTTTTAAAAATTGTTAGAAATTTGAATATCAAATAATATTTACTAAGGTAAAAATAACTGTGACATGATTATATCTATGTTCAAAGAAAGCTACATATAATATGTACTTATTTGTATGTATACAAATGATATTCAACTTCACCTAAACTGTTATTATTTCTCTGATTTACTTCAAAATGATACAGGAGAAGAGAAAATGGGAAATATAGATTAATAAAGATTATACATGATTCAAAAATTTCAAAGCTGAGTACATGGAAATTGATTGATATGTTTTGTGCACTTTTATATAAATTTTAAGTGTTCTATAATAAAAAATTCTCTAAACATGCATGTCTGCATTCTATCTCTATATTAAGAAAAAAAAGAAACTTCCATGATCAAAAAGTTAAAATAATCTTTCTAAATAGTACACAGGATATGTGAACATACAAATTAAATTACAACATGAAGTATTAATACAATTTCCCTCAAAACAACAATAAATCAATCACAAGAAAGCTTGCTTCCAAAAGTGTATGTATAAAAACTGTCAAGAAAAGCAAGAGAGTTGTGATAGCATAGTATATCAAGAACTAGTTTATTTCTGCAGTAATAAAAAATGGTTAAACAATATGTAGTTAAGATGGCACCATAAAGGGATAAATAAACATACCAATAGAAAAAAAACCTAAAGAATGAAAAATGTTATATCTGTGCACATTTAGTAGAGAAAGGATGCCAAAGACATCAGTGAAAGACACGATAACAATTGACTACCCATTTGGTTCAAGGATAGTTAAGGATTAATTTGTCATCTAAATGTTTTTGGAGAGGACTACAAATTTGAAGCTAACTGGAGACTAACACAAATCTTTGACTTTCCCCTTCATCTTACCTTCCTGTGGTCAGCATGGCCTAAAAAGCTTAAGGATGGAGGACACACTTTGGTGAGGCTGCTATAGATTTACTAACATATTGGGTGGCATAAAAACAAATATCAATTTCTCACATTTGGGGAGAACATAGAATCTAATATCAAGGGGTCAGAAAAGTTTAGATCTATTGAGGTTTTTCAGATATCCATTTTTAGCCTGTACCCCCACATGGCAAAAGGGCTCAGCTGTCTCATGGTTTCTGAGAATGACACTAATTCTACCCCTAAGGGCTCCATCCTCAAGACACACCTACTTCCCAAAGCCTCCACCTGTTAAAGCCATCACCCTGATGTCTGGGACTTCAGCATATGAAACCTTGAGGGGAAACAAACAGTCCCCAGTGTCTGTTATAGCTGGTTTTGTGTCAACTTAACACAAGCTAGCGTCTTCAGAGAGGAGGAGCCTCAATTGAGAAAATGCCTCCATAAGATCCAGCAGTAGGGCATTTTCATAATTTGTGATTATAGGGGAGGGCCCAGGCCACTGTGGGTAATGCCATCCCTGGGCAAGTGGTTCTGGGATCTATAAGAAAGCAGGCTGAACAAGCCATGATTTTTAATAGTCAGTCAAATCTTACCTCGTACCTGTCAGGAGTGTGGCCATTTAAGAGGTAAGCTGTGTCATCTGTGTGCAAGCCAGCTTTCTGACTCAGCCCCAGCGAGTCACACAGGACAAACGGCAAGGGGCCATCATCATCCCTGTGTGTGATGGAATATGTCCTGTACTGAAAAATGAGGGACAACTTGAAACGCACATTCCTTCTTGTTATAAATTTAAATAAAGTCAATTGGTGGTCAACGTGGTTTTCCAATACACTTAACTTGAACCAAAGAAGCCTGGGTAGCCTAAAATACACTTACCTTGTCAGATATCCCATTTTTGTCACAGCCCACCAAGGCCTGGTGTGTGATGCTGCCTCTGAAAACAGACTTGACTGAGTTGACGAAGCTAGACTTTCCAGCTCCTATAGGACCCAGCAGCAAAATTCGTGTTTGGGGAACCAGGTCTCCATACGGCTTATAGGTACTCAGGACAGTCAATAAATTTCTCTGTATCCTATTAAAATTCAACAAATTTTAAGAATTGACTGGTCAGTTCACATGTTCTCACCATACATTTTCTAAGAATTCACTTATCTTCCTTATCTTCTAATTAGAAGCTTGTCTTCTTCCAGGTACATACAAGACTTGAATATAGTGGTGTGAAGTAAGCTTATGTATCTGAACACTATGTCTTAAGTTGGTGTTTGGGAAGATGATAGAACCTTTAGGAGGTGGAGCCTTGCTGGAGGGAGTAGGTCAATGAGGCAAGCATTGAGGGCTTATGACCTCACCCACTTCCTGTTCTTTCTCTCTGTGCTTCCTGTATGTGGATGAAAACGTTGTCAGCCAGCTTCCTGGTTCTGTGTCCGTGCTTTCTGTGACTGCTGCCATGGCTGCCCTACCATGATGGTCTCTCTCCCTCTAGAACTGTAAGCTAAAGGAAATCCTTTCTTCCTTAAGTTGTTTGGTTGTGGTGTTTTGTCATAACAACTGAAAAAAAGCTAATACACTACCCTAGCTTAAGTCATATAGTAAAGGAAATAAAAATAAAAATAACACTTGCAACTAAAACTAATTAATCATAAAACTGTTCACTTATGTTACTACAGCTTGTAAATTCACTAATATCAGGCATGCCAAATAGGAAGATTAATAATGATAAACTCTAAAAGTAATTGGATAATATGTATTTGAAGTTTATAGTATACCATTTCTAACATGTTCCCAAAACTCATTAATAGATGTTCTCAGCTTCATAATCATTCTCAGCATATTCTAAAGAAAAAAATTTACTGTAAGAATCCTAAAACACAATGTAAGCAAAATTATTTTCCCTTAGTATATAGCATTAAAAATAGTCCTCTCCCACTCACTGTTCTTAATATTATTAGGATCAATTGTTTTATAATTATAGAGACGGGTTTTGGTTATTCTTTCATGGTTTATGTATTTGCTGTAATAATTTGTGTCATCAATTTTGTTGACATTCATTATCATAATGAAAGGTAATAAACAGTAATAAGATAATAAAAAGTCATTGACTTACACAGCAATGTCTCTTGTCTTTCTCTCATCCAATAACTCTAAGAAAAATAATAATATAGATTATAAATTCTTAAATAATTGGCTTAGCAAATGAATGTGAGCAAATTCACTAGAGACAAATATGTAAGTAGTCTTTTCACAGGAAAAAGCAAGGGGAGAAAATTGACATTGCCTCCTTTGGAAACACAAGAGTGTCTGCACATGGGTTCTCGCACCTGCTCAGTAGTAGTGTGGACTTCTTTGCTTGAATGGAAGTTGGATTGTGAGTGTCTTCTGAATTAGAGAAGCAGAATATAGATGTATAGACAACCAAGGAAAGACTAGTGTTAACTGATATTTTCCCTGAAAGTGGTAATAGGTCTGAAAGATACAATGTACAGAGACGCATAAAAATAATTTTTAAAATAGGCACAAGATTTTGTCAAAGCTAGCTCTCAATAGGAACTTCCATTCAATCAATGCATTCCTGGCTCAAAAGAGAAGATAAAAGTAGATAAAAAGAAAGTCTAGCCACTCCATGGAAAGCAGTGGTGCATAGATGTGCAGAGGACTAGAAACAGACCAGTCGGTCTCAGGTTCAGAGGTGTCCCCCCCCTTTTTTTTAAGACAAGACTTTTTGGGGCATGGACTTAAAACTGAAACCATTAGTCTAGCAATGCTATCAAATTTCTAATAACTCTCACTATTGGGCCATATGTAGAACAACCAAGTAAATACCATTAAATTGCCAAAAGCAGAAATTGTAAAGATTTAATTCAATGACCAAAATATAATTAATCTCTGAAAGAATAAAAACTATATGTAAAAATAAAATTAAACTTTTGAGATTTTTATAAAGCATTCTCTGAAATAGCTTCAATGTCTAAAAGGAAACTTAAAACTACAATTATGTGCAAATTTACGGTGAAATACTTTACAGCAACTTTGTGATAAAATTGGACTTTATTGTGACAGGAAATGAGGAATGTTTGAAAACAGAAACAAAAAAAATGTAGGAACACTTACAAAAATAAAATGAGTAATCAATAAAATTAAGAACATAAGTTGTAAAACCTTGAATAAGTACAAGTTAATGTTGCAGTTATTCTTTTAGACTGAAATGAACTAATCAAGGAAAGCCGAGTCTGTGTGATCACAGTATTATGAGCATCTAACAGCCACACGCACAAAAACAAACTAATGACTACAGGCCGAGTGGTGGTGGGGGGTATGGTGAAGTTAAAGGTTCATTACCCAAGTCCTAGAGACATCATGGTGACATAATCCTTACAGCTGTATCACTATACCATGGAATGAAAATTGTGACAAAGGGGTAGATCTTACGTTAAGTGGTCTCATTTCCAAAAGATTGGATTTTAGCAATTTCTGGCCACATGTCAGTGTGGATCATCTCTCCAGATTTAAGAGCCCAAGTTCAAAGGTGCCTTTTCCACAGGGATATGTCATCTAGAACCCACTAAACATGCAGGGGAGACCTCCAAAGGCTTGTCTGAGCAAACATACCTTCGCATCGAAAAGTTTCACACTCCTGAATAGACATGGTAGAATATCGACGAGGCAGTCCGAGCTTTTCACATACCTCTGAACTTATAGTCATGTTTTTCTCATATAACACTACATAGATATCAGGAATACAATCAGTATTCTCTCTATCATAGAACAAAAAAGATGGCTTATGTGCTCCTATTGCACATGCTGAAACTTCAGTCTCTCGGAGTACAAAAAGAGTGATAGGAACATTTTTGTTCTGGAAGCCCTCTTGCAGGTAGGCACCAACGACACAGTTTCTACTGTAAAACACTGTCATGGTAGGACCGTGATCCCAACATTTCCATAACAAATCGCGATGAGAGAAGTTCTGCAGAGTCGCCTTATAAAGAAGACAAAACCGTTTTCCTCCAAAATAATTCTGCAGGCACTTTTCTTGCAACCATGTCAAACGAGTTTTCATGGCCATACTTCACAGCCTAGTGGGAAAGCCAACGGAGTCCTCATTAACACTGAAGACCGGACAGAGGCACGCACGGCTCGCGTTTACTCTTATAGAAGCCAACGGAGTCCTCATTAAACACTGAAGACCGGACAGAAGCACACACAGCTCGCGTTTACTCTTATAGAAGCCAACAGAGTCCTCATTAAACACTGAAGACCGGACAGAAGCACACACAGCTCGCGTTTACTCTTATAGAAGTCAACACAGTCCTCATTAAACACTGAAGACCGGACAGAGGCACACACAGCCTTCATTTACTCTTATTTTCTCACAGAACACAGGAAATTAATGAACATGAGGTAAAAACATATCAAGAAAATCATTACCAAAATGTTCGTTTAAATAATTGCTTTCAAAAATTTTAAACACTCTTGTTTGCAAGTGTCTGGTGTAAGTGGAAAGTTACAATACGTACCTCTGTGAAGAGTCTGCACAAAGCCTGGTGCTGAGGGCAGCTTCTGCCTCAGTAAACAAGCCTGAAAAGAGAAACTTGCCACAGCTTCCTGCTTAGGAAATGGAACTGAAACTCAGCATGCCTAGTCGTGCGGAGCAGCAGGCCAGTTTTTTTCCCAACATAATATTTTTATAGATTATTTGGGAGTTTCATATAACACACCCTGATCACATTCACTGCTCAGTTTTCCCAGATCCCCACCCCAGCCATGCTCCTGTGCCCTTCCCCCAACGAAAAGAAAAAAAAAAATACCAAGTCCAATTTTTGTTGCCCATACACTTACTGGAGCATGGGCGAACTCCCTTAAAGAAAACTGAGTCCTTCCCCACCCCACCCCTGCCAGAAGCCATCAACTGTGAAGAGCTACACTTCAGCATCCCTATCACAATTTTTAATAGTTCTCTTCAGTGGCTTCCTGTCTAGACTGTTTTTGGGGGATGGGGTGGAGGAGACGGGTTGTCACAGAAGACTTCTACATCTCTTATCCTCAACTGTGAGTCTGTGGTCATCAATATCAACTGCAAAAAAAACTACTTTTAAATAGCAAAGTCAAACCAAAAGTGCATTAGGAAAATTTAGGAAGCACAGCCTCTCACAGGGCTGAGGTTTGTCTTTTAAGGTAAATTCAACAAGTCTCTATATATGGACATAAACATCAAAATTACTATCTATTGTGCCTCCAAAGTACAAGTCATCTACTTCTCTTAATCCATGCTATTATTTTATTCCAAATTAGTTCCCAAACCTCCACGGGCTGTTAGAGCAGCCTCGTGCTTAGACAGAGCATGAGGTGGGCAAGCCTGTGCACCCTCCCGCAACAGCTGGTTACAGGAAGAGTGTCGCTTCGCTTCCATCAGATGTGAAGAAAAACAAAGGTGGTCAACACCGTGGACACTGTGGGAAATACACGAAGAAGAGTACAGAGAGGAATGAGGAGTACCTTACCAGCAGATATGAGAAACAACGGTCTTCACTGCACAGTAAGAGTGCTAGACTCCCAGCAGCAGAAGCAAAGCAGTTCATGTTCTGACCTTGCAAAGTCAGGAGTCAGCTTAGAGAAAAGTCAAAAATGGAATTTGATGCAGAACAGTGGGGTATTTTGTTGTTGTTTTGTTGGTTTTTTTTTTTTTATGCCCCCAATTGCATTTCCCTGCCCTCTGAATTTCTCATTGGCAGAGTTCTTCAGGGAAGAGCAGTCTTCCCACTCATCTAGCACAGTCTCCACCCCAAACCCTCCATCGCCCTGAGGCTCAAGATCCATCCACCTGTCCTGATAGGTTAGCTCAATTACAAATTTCAACCCTAAAATAAGCTGAAAAGTACCCAGGCAAGCAGGATCCAGAGACTAGCTAAGGAAGGCAGGAGTCTAGTGTCTCCTGCTTATCTGTGATTCCTCGGGGAGTTTTAAATGAACCTCATCCTGACAATGGACTGTGATGATTTATTCCTTATAAAGGTCAGAGGAGAAGGTAATGGATGGAACAGTTTGAGGATTTGTAGTGGCAAAAGCTGTGAAAAGTAATCAGATTCAATATGTCTTTCAAGCATAAGAGAAAACCGAGAAAATTTGCTGGTGGGATAGATGTGGGCTAGCTGTGTTAGGAGAGGGGCTAAAGAAAAGGATTGTTCTTACTTGATCATGGTGTTGGATCCAGGGTCATGCAATAATGGGGGACAAACCATCAAAGTCTATTAAACCAGAAGTAGACTTTATTCAAAAAAAAAAAAAAAGCCAAAGAATGAAAATATCATCATGGGGCACAAAAGCTTATCAGCTAGCTGAGACCACAGCCAATATTAGAATTCTGAGGCTGTGGCAGTTGGAGGTGGACTATGAGCCTCTTTTTATAGTAAGGGGTAAGCATTAGACATAGACAAAGGAATTTTTACTATTTTGAAGTTAAACTTTTAGAGATAAATTGTTTTAGGTTTTTATAATTTTCCATTAACAAAGCTTTAGAGAATTTCAGCTAAACGATATTTGTATATCCCTGCAGCCCTTCCTGACTCAGTTCATTGCTGTTTACCCAAACCTGCAACTTCTCCTGACATAGCTGGGTTCTCATGGGGGGGAATACGAAACAACGCAAGGCAGGTTGTCACGTCGAACTCATTAAAAGTTAACTTTGGTTTCAGTAATGAGTGGTAGGGGGTTATTGGAGAATAGCTAACCCCAGGGCTGCAAAAGGCAATCTGTAGCAATAAATAAATAAATAAATAAATAAATAAATAAATAACATTTGGGTTGTTGAGAGAGCTGCCCACTGTAAAACACAAAAGGGTCCAGTTAAAGGTTAATCCCCTTCTTGCTAGCCAAGCTGACGGCTGTCAGTTGCCATTCCTTAAGTTTATTCCTATGTTTCTATCTTATTTCTATATTCCTATCTTATTCCTGTATTCCTGGACCCTACAATAGGATAAATGGTGAGACTATTCATTATTGATATGCAAATATTGGAAGAGTTATGTATTCTGTCTTCCATTGGCTTCTGTAAGTGAAGTCAGAGACTTCTGTGTGAGGTCAGAGACTAGGGCATGACTGCAACCTGAGAATCATCAACATACACGGAGAGATACATAAAGTGAAGGGAAGATTTCAATAAGTAAGTGCAGCTCTATAGACCAAACCTTGTGCCTCCTCCCTCTTTTAGAGGTCATAAACATTAGAAAGATTTACCCAAAAGGACTGGAACTACGAAAACTAGTGGAAAGCAGCAAGAGTGAGTGTGGTGGTATTGTGTTCCCCAAAATATTGTGCATGCTAATAAACTTATCTGGGGTCAGAGAACAGGACAGCCACAATATTAAATATAGAGGATAGGCAGTGGTAGCACACACCTTTAATCCTAGCATTCCAGAGGCAGAAATCCCTCTGGATCTCTGTGAGTTCAAGGCCACATTGGAAACAGCCAGGCATGGTGACTCACACCTTTAATCCCAGAAAATGAGCCTTTAATCCCAGGGAGTGAGGCAGAAAGCAGAAAGATATATAAGGCATGAGGACCAGAAGCTAGAAGCATTTGGCTGGTTAAGCTTTCAGGCTTTGGAGCAACAGTTCAGCTGAGATACATTCGGATGAGGACACAGAGGCTTCCAGTCTGAGGAAACAGGATCAGCTGAGGAATTGGCAAGGTGAGGTAGCTATGGCTTGTTCTGTTTCTCTGATCTTCCAGCATTCACCCCAATAACTGGCATCAGGTTTGATTTTATTAACAAGTACCTTTAAGATTCCTGCTACAAGTGAGTTGTCCCAGGAGCCAAGAAAAGAAGGGAAAAGTGGTCACCTGTGTGAATACCATTCTTTCCTTCAGAATCTCCTCCACTTGGCACAGTGAGGAGATCATGATGGGAAAATGTACAGAGATGTCCAGCCAAACTAGTGGAAACACATGAACCAATAGCTGTGCCAAGGAACCAATAGCTTCCTGGGAGCTGTGAAATTTGAGTGGAATGGCCTGTTTAACTACGAGAAGAGAGCATTCAGGTTATAGCCTTGTCTCTCTATGGAGAAAAAGCTGAAAAGTGCTAGATGTTGAGACTGTTGCTCTGCTACAGCAGAGGAATAAAATAAGAAGCAATCTACTGCAAGACCCAGCTATACCACTCTTGGGCACATACCCAAGGAATGCTCAATCATACCACAAGGACACATGCTCAACTATGTTCATAGCAGCATTATTCATAATAACCAGAACCTGGAAACAACCTAGATGCCCCTCAACTGAAGAATGGATAAAGAAAATGTGGCACATATACACAATGGAGTATGACTCAGTGGAAAAAAAAAACAATGATATCATGAAATTTTCAGGAAAATGGATGGAACTAGAAAATATCATCCTGAGTGAGGTAACCCAGACTCAGAAGGACAAACATGGTATGTACTCACTCATAAGTGGATACTAGATGTAAAGCAAAGGATAACCAGACTGCAACCCACAGCTCCAGGGAAGCTAGCTAACAAGGAGGACCCTAGGAAGGACACATGGATAGCCCAGTGAAGGAGAAATAGATGAGATCCACAAGAGTAAACTGGGGGTGAGGGAGAGTAATGGAAAGCAAGGGATGGGAGATGAGAACATAGGGGAACAGGAGGTTCGAGCTGGAACAGGGACAGAGTGGGAAAGCAAGGAAAGAGATACCATGATAAATGAAGACATCATGGGAATAGGGAGAAACAGGGTGCTAGGGAAGGTCCCAGGAATCCATAAGGATGACCCCAGATGAGATTATTGGCAGTAGTGGAGAGGGTGCCTGAACTGGCCTACTCCAGTAATCAGATTGGTGAATACACTAACTATCATCATAGAGCCTTCATCCAGTAACTGATGGAAGCAAATGCAGAGATCCACAGAGTCGAGCTCCAGGAGTCCAATGGATGAGAGAGAAGAGGAATTTTATGAGCAAGGGACATGAGATCATGATGGGAAAATGTACAGAGATGTCCAGCCAAACTAGTGGAAACACATGAACCAATAGCTGTGGAGCCCCCATGGTATAGGACTAGGCCCACTGGATAGGCGAGACAGTTGTTTAGCTTAAACTGTTTAGGGGGCCCCTGAGGCAGTGGTATCAGGATCCGTTCCTGGTGCATGAGTGGGCTTTTTGGAGCCCAGTGCCTATGGTGAGACACTTTGCCCAGCCTTGGTGCAGGGAGGAGGGGCTTGGGTCTGCCTCAACTGAATGGACCAGGCTCTGCTGACTCCCCATGGGAGTCCTTGCCTTGGAGGAGGTGGGAATAGGGGTTGGATTGGGGGGAAGGCTGGGGATGGGAGGAGGGAGGAGAGGGGCATCTGTGGTTGGCATGTAAAATGAATAGAAAATTTCTTAATAATAATAAAAATGTCTCCATAAGGCTGAACTGAAGTATAAACTATGAAATTTGTTGCAAACAAGCAATCCACAAGTGGCTTCCTGCATCAGCCATAATGAATTGTTCAGAGGGAACAATTCAGAGATGTTCTCATACATGCTCAGTAGAGAGATCCTTGTGCCAAGCTGCTCAATGTTCTAAAAGTGTGGGCTCTTGGTTTCCTCAGCACCCCTCAAAGGATGCTAGCAGCA